CGGCGCTCGCCCTGGCGCGGGATGGCGGAGCGCTGCGAGCCCGACCCCTGCTCGCTCCAGGGGGGAGCGGACGGTAACCTCTGGGACATGTCGCTGAGCTTCCTGGAGGACGCCCCGACGGGCAACCGGAGCAACGTGTCCTTCCTGCAGCTCCTCAGGAACATCAACCTGGAGCGAGCCGACGGGATGCAGGGGGACAGCTCCGGCGTGGTGCGGATCATCATCTCCCTGGTGTACTCTGTGGTGTGTGCCTTGGGGCTGGTGGGCAACCTGTTGGTGCTCTACCTGATGAAAAGCAAGCAAGGCTGGAGAAAGTCCTCCATCAACCTCTTTGTGACCAGCCTGGCAGTGACTGACTTTCAGTTTGTGCTGACTTTGCCTTTCTGGGCAGTGGAGAATGCACTGGACTTCAACTGGCTCTTCGGCAAGGCCATGTGCAAGATCGTTTCATATGTGACGGCCATGAACATGTACGCCAGCGTCTTCTTCCTCACTGCCATGAGCGTGGCTCGCTACCGCTCTGTGGCTTCAGCCTTGAAGAACCAGCGGCGAGGTGACCCGCTGGGTGGTTGCTGCTCTGCCAAGTGGCTTTGCGCACTCATCTGGGTGTCAGCTATCCTGGCTTCCCTGCCCCATGCCATTTTTTCCACCACTGCCACCGTCTTTGATGACGTGCTCTGCCTCTTGAAGTTCCCTGAGGGCCGCAGCAGCAATGCCCAGTTCTGGCTGGGGCTGTACCACATCCAGAAGGTGCTGCTGGGCTTCGTGGTGCCACTGGCTATCATCAGCCTGTGCTATTTGCTCCTGGTGCGTTTCATCAGTGACAAGCATGTCGGCAGCACCTGCAGCGGCCCCAGCACCAAGCGCCGCTCCAAGGTGACCAAGTCAGTGTCGATTGTGGTGTTGTCTTTCTTCTTGTGCTGGCTGCCCAACCAAGCACTCACACTGTGGGGCGTCCTCATCAAACTCAATGTGGTGCACTTCAGCACTGAGTACTTCCTCTCCCAAGTGTACCTCTTCCCCATCAGTGTGTGCCTGGCGCACTCCAACAGCTGCCTCAACCCCATCCTCTACTGCCTCATGCGCCGGGAGTTTCGCAAGGCACTGAAGAGCCTCCTCTGGAGAATCACCTCGCCCTCCCTCACCACCATGCGTCCTTTCACCGACACTACCAAGCCCGAGCAGGAGGAGCAGGCCCTGCACGCCTTGGTGCCTATCCACCCCATCGCTCCTTCCTCACCTGCTGAGGCTGTCCCGCCTG